CATATTCACCACCTCTATCACTCATAATTTTCTTGATTTTCTTACCAAGTTGATTTTCAACTTCATTCTTATATTGAATGAAAGTTTCCAAAGCTTCATCGTTGGTTCGAATTAAATAAACATAACTATATCTAGTATAATCATCTATAAAAGTGATAAAATATTTTTTCCCACCTCTTGTTTGAATTGACTTAAAATCACAAATGTTACTATGAATTAATTCAAGTGGTTCCAAACTTCTTTCAATTGAATGAAAAGGAGTTTTGGATAATTTTGCCTCAACGCAAATTTCACATTTATGATTGAATCAATGTCAAATTTAGGTAAACATTCCATATTAATTAATCTACGCAAAGATCCATGATTAACATGTCCTAGTCTACCATGACATAAATTTAAAGACTCAAGCAAGTAAGAAGAAGATGTATTATTATTAATAACTGAGGGTACAACGGTCATTACATTTAACTTGAAAAGGCCATCAGACATGTAATATTTTCCTACATACATCTCATTCTTAGTAAGTACAAATTTATCACTTTCAAGCACTAGCCTAAACCCATTCTTACTCAACAAAGATCCGGAAACAAGATTCTTGTGAATGTCCGGTACATGCAGCACATTGTTGAGAGTGAGTTCATTTCTAGATGTCATCTTGAGAACAATTTTCCCTTGTCCGTCAACTTTGGAAGTTGAGGAGTTGCCCATAAAAAGTTGTTCACCATTGTCCACTGAAGAATAAGATGTGAACATCTTTTTTTGGGCACAGATATGGCGAGTAGCACCAGTGTCCACCCACCATTCTTTAGGATTTCTGACAAGATTTACTTCGGAAACAACTGCAGAAAGTTTGATGTCATCTACACCATTGGAAATATTGTCCACTTCGGTCATATGGGCTTGAGTAGGCTTCTTGCTTGTTCTTCTTTTGCTTTTGCTTTTGCCTTTGCTACGGCAATCTTTGGTCCGATGTTCCTCTTTGTCACAGATGTAACATTTGCCATTAAACTTGTACTTTTTATTTTTCCTCCCTTTAGAGCCTTGTGATGAACTTTCTCCAGAAGACTTTCGTTTCTTGGTCTTTGTAGCATGTTTCACCACATTTGCCTTAGACTCCATAGGATGCTTACCAGCCCGCTTTTCAGAATTGCGGTTGTCCTCAATCCTCAAACACACAATTAATTCTTCCGTAGACATTTCTTTGCGCTTGTGTTTGAGGTAGTTCTTGAATTCTTTCCAGCCTTGTGGTAATTTCTTAATTAAGACTGCAACTTGAAAGGATTCACTGAGAGACATTCTTTCTGCGTGAATGTCATGTAGAATGAGTTGGAAATCTTGAACTTGGCTGATCACAATTTTGAATCAACCATTACAAAATCCAAGAATCTGCCAACCACAAATTTCTTTGAGCCAGCATCTTTCGTTTTGTATTTTTTCTCCAAAGACTCCCAAAGTTCCTTTATTGTCTTGATAGGACATTAGACGTTGTATAATGTGTTGTCAAGTCCGTTTAAGATGTAGTTCCGGCAAAGGAAATCAGCATGTTTTTAGGCATCAACCGCAACAGCCACTTGCCGGTCGGTTTTATCTTTTTTCAAAATAGGAGCATCCTCACGGAGAAAATGAGCCAGGTTCAGAGTTGTAAGATAGAACAACATTTTCTGTTGCCATCTTTTAAAATTAGTTCCTGAGAACTTCTCTGGCTTTTCACCGTGATTTACCGGTACTGTCACAACAGGAGAGGGGGTTGGTGTCATTGTAGCCACCACAATAGTACGGTGCCGTTTGGTAACACTTACGTTTTCTGTTTATATTTACAAAAATTTTAAAAACTCAAATAAAAACTTGATTGGTAAAATTTTTGATTTATAAATTAGTGGTCTCAGTTTATAAATTTGGCCAAAAAATGAGAACACAAAAAATGTGTTTTCATTTTGAGTTTTCAGTTTTTTTTTTTACCACCCAACACTAGCCACCACCCGCCATCATTTTCCACCACCGTCTTCCGCCACCACCCCCACCACCACTCACCACCCACTTGCCACCACCACCATCCACCACTCGCCACCACCACGCACCCACCACCACCCACCTGCCACCCACGCCGCCACTGACAGCCCACCCCTCGTCACCACCACCACCACCTGTCATCCACCCGCTACCACCCACCACCGCCACTACCATCCACCGCCCGCCACCACCACCCGCCACCTACTTGCCACCACCACTCGCCACCCACCTACCACCCACCCGCCATCCACCTGCCACCACCACTACTACCACCACCACCCACTCGCTACCACCTACCACCCGCCACCGTCACCCACCCAGCCCACCCACCCACCACCACCACCACCACTAATCACCACCCACCTGCCACCACCATCCACCACCTATCACCACCAGCCATCCACCGCCACCAACCACGTGCCACCCACCCGCCACCACCACCACCACCTGCCACCATCACCACTACCACCCACTCGCTACCACCTACCACCCGCTACCGTCACCCATCCATCCACCCACCACCACCACCACCACCCGCCACCACCAGCTACCCACCACCCACCGTCATCACTTTTCACCACCGTCTTTCGCCGCCACTTGTCGCCACTTGCCACCACTTGCTATTTCTCACTCTTTTTATATTTTTAAAATTTTTTAAACATTTTGTCAATTACTAAACGCGTTTGCAGTTTATGTTTTTCTAAAAATAAACAAAAACCAGTTTATAAAATTTTTGTAAATATAAACTGAAAACGTAAACGTTACCAAACACACCCTACTTGTTTGAGCATTTGTTTCAATAGCCATTGATTCTAATTTATAACACAAAATTATAATTAGAATTTATACTACACAGAAAATTAATCCAAATTTACAGAATTAAATTCCGTAAAAATAAAAAAAACAAGAATGTAACTTTTATTTTCCAATTAATTTGGAAATAAAATAAAATTTTATTTAACCAAATTAATTCTACACAGAAAATTAAATTTCTGTGACACTTCAATAATTAAAAAAAAACTAAAAAAATATTTTTTAATTAATGAATACTCAGAAATAAATTTAAAAAATCAAAATTAATTTCTGACAAAATTCCACAAATATATATTCTGAATTGTTAATAACACCAGTATATTACTACTAGTTGTCAAAGAAAATAGACAGTATATTACTACTATCTGTCAAATAGCATATAACCACTATTTATTTTTCCAACCAAAATATTAATTTGTAAATTCACAGAAAATAATTTTCTTAAATAAGGGAAGAAAAAGGGAAACAAACGAAAAATTCTGTAAATAGAATAATTCGAATCTGTCTTAAGATTGTTGGAACAATCTTCTGTGTAAATAAAATAAATTGAAATAATTCAAACAAAATAAAATAAAACTTACAGAATTTATTTTGTTGAACCGAATAAATAATTAAAGACCAAGTCGAGTGTGTAACACTCTGTCCTTAAGACAGATTTGCCCCGCTACGGTGCTTACGGTTGGGTGGCGTTTATCTCCCAGGATACAATGATCTTAACCAATTTGTAATAGCACTCCAAAACAAATTTTTCGGCGAACTAGAACCTTGTGTTCTTATACTCTCTAAATATTTCTCTAAATGACTAATATGAAGAATAATGTAAACAAATGAAATCTGGACAGCAAGAACAAAGTTTTTCAGACTGATTTTTCGGATGTAAAGACTGCTGGAACATGGCTGTATTTAAAGGCAAAATATCTGACCCGAATAGGTACTAATTTGAAGTGAACAGGTGGGATTTTGAATTGAACAGGTGATGTCTTTAATTCAAACAGATCTGCAAACTGCCTTAACAGACTAACTGCTACAGTTTGTCCAGATCTTGAACCTGTTCGGCAGTTACAAATGTTGTAACTGCTGACAGACTAACTGCTACAGTTTGTCCAGATCTTGAACCTGTTCGGCGGCAGTTATAACACTGTTCAAACAATTCAAAATTTTGGACAGAAAAGGCATCAAACATGGACATATACAATTTAAATTCAATTTTGGAATTGAATTAAATTTTCCCGCAATAATTTTTTTTAAAAATTTCAAAAGAATTTTGTCCAAAAACTTAATACAAGAACCGACCCGACCCACAACCCACACCCGCGCCCGGCTCGGTCGAACGGATGGCCAGCGGCGGCACGCGCGTGTGTGGTGGTTTAGGCTAAGGTTCACTTTGTCCATAACTCCTCCCTTCTACAAACTTGGGGTGCCCCTTGTGGCCCAACCCAAGTGTTGTATGCTAGAGCTTATATATTCAACAAAACTCCCTTAAAGTTTCAATGTGGGACAAGCCTCACAAGGAAACCCACATTAAAAACTTTAAATGTCCATTCCACGAACCAAAAAACGACGTCATGTTCCCATTCACTCATAAATGGTTTTGACGAACCGTCTTCACCGTGTGACTTGCCACGCGGCAAGGAACACATCACCTCTTCGGACCCGTCCCAAAAGACGTTCGGGGCCCACTCAATTTTGGGCTCAAAGTTAGCCCAAAATAAGCCTATATTAAACCATTTTTCCAACACTTAAAGTTGTGACATGTTTTTTGTCCATCATCGTCGTTATTTTGTTGTTCCATATGTAATATATGTATTCGTGTTTAGATGGTTATTATACTATGGTTTCCGTATGTAATATATGTATCTGTGTGTAGCTGGTTACCATACTATGCTTTCCGTATGTAATATATTACTTATCCATGTGATTTTACTATTGCGATACGTAATATACAAACATAATAATATATGGTTGACACAACTATAAGTAATGCACTGATCAATTAATAAGTAATGCAAATTATAATGTTCTATAGTCGCATGGCTTCAACTCGATCCGGCTCTCGTACCCCTTCCGAGAAAGGAAAGGGCCCAAAACCTTATCACAAAGCCAATTGGGACTGGGCGAACACACGTATCTATTTGGAACTTGTTGTTAAGGAAATAGACGCAGGTAACAGGCCGCACATGTCAATCAATCCGAATGGGTACCGGTCTTTGGCTAAGACTTATGAGGCAACAACTGGGTTGACGCATAGCATCAAAAAACTTAAAAATAGGTACAATCAACTAAAGGCGGAGTGGCGTGCATGGTCGAAGCTAATGGATAGCCACAAAGGCCCCACTGGAATTGGGTTCGACCAAGAGACGGGGTTGATCAATGCGTCAGATGAATGGTGGGCTAGAATGGAGAAGGTAACGATTTGAACTTATGTTTACATAATTTTGTGTTTCACAATGTCGTTGAAATTGAATCTGCTATAATTCAAGTGACTTTGTAAACTATTGATTTAAATTAAATAGAGACACATGTTGAGTTAAAATACATTTGATTATAAATATCAAGTAGGCATACCAAACAAGCCCGAGTGCTAAACTGAATAATTTGTGGAAGCTCCTAACAGATATATTTACATGTCAATTTGTTAGATTTGATTTTCGAGTGTTTTGCAGTAATAGGGTTTCCAATGAATCTACATACTGAAAAATCAAAATATGAACATGTCTGATAGATAGCTATTAGGGTCCATTGAGATAATTTTAGATTTCAAATCAAGGGATTTGAGGTTATATAGAGAAACAATGGAAGATGATAAGTTGAGATAAAAGATTGATACATTTTACCAGAATCCTCATAGTTAGAAAGAGAATCCTTAGCATAATTTCAAATAACTAGTTTCAAATTCCTAATGATTATGTTATATAATTCAATCTTGAAATTCACAAGTAAATTATTATATTTGAATTTGAGATCAAGATCAAATCAGTTGGATTTGAAATCAATGTCTATCAAAACGTAGCCTCACTGAGACTCATCAAAGCTGTAAGTTGCTGGTTCAAAAAGTTCTACAACTGAATATACCTTGGCTGCAAAACATCATATGACCTAATGATTTGTGCATGTAGTGTAAAGTGACCTGTTGATATTAAGAAAACTACCACTTCCTGATTTCTTACACATAATTATCCTTTAAAGATTAACTTCAAGGGTTTAGTTGAGTGATAAATTGATCCATGACAAGCGTCTCATGAAGTGTAGATTACGAGTTTAAATCTCACTAAAGTGCTTGACCCTTCGGGAGTGCATATACTTGGGGAACTATTTACCCAAAAAAAAAATGTTATTTGAGAGGTAATCAGTGGATGCTCTGTAAAGATCCAAGGGACTGCAGCGCCGGTGTGTACCCTTGTTACCAATATACACACACACACATATATATGTAAAGATTGAGAGGTAATGAAAATTGCAAATTAGGCATGCTATCTATAGTAGCCTTAAGAACTTTTTTGGTTGTAAGGTGTGTTGTTTCTCAAAAAAGGGACGAATACCATGTGGGAGAGTGGTGCGCAATTCACTTTGTGAACACCACCCTTGTTTCACGTTCAAGCAAAGAACAAAGGGATGTTTAGGGACTACCTGCAAAAAACTGAGTCACTTTTTTCTTTTATAGAAAGAGTTTTGAATATGGTGGGAGTGAAGAAGGGAGTATTGTGAAATTTCCTTATGAATAACATTGCATGTTATTTGGTATCTGGCCCTATTTGGATTGGACTAGGAAATCTTACCTTTTATCTCTCAAGAGTTGTAGACTTCTTTTAGGACTTGGGTTCCTCAGAGCATCTTTAATGCATGAGTTAATTTGATGTTAAGATAGTTAACCCAACTATGCCATAAACAGATGTCAAACTCCATAAACATATATTTCATTTAAAGTATACTGTTCATGCCTACAACATTCAAATAAACATGAAACATGCCATGACAATAAGGAAATATTGTGGGTTTTTTTTTTCCATATATAAGCACGTCAACTATGTGCATACTTAAACTGTTCATTATTGATGTGCACATCAACTATGCATGCTTAAACTATTCATTACTAATGTGCATACTCCATGAACATAAGTTATTCATGTTGCTAATGGTGTACTCCCATTGTATTGTATTACAGCTTGACAAAGAGTGTTGCAAGTTCAGAACAAAGCGGTTGGATCACGAGGAGTTGATGCGTCGCGTATTCACTAGGGCTGTGGCAACGGGTAAAAATGCTTGGACGCCTGGCGAGATGCGGAACCAGCTGGAGGTAGAAAGGGAGTCCGACAGTGCCGACTTCTCTATGGAGAACAACGAGTTTGGTGCCTCTGAAACGGCAAACTTGATGAAATCTGCAACCATTAACGCATCAGGTAGTGGCACCAAAAGGAGGCACTCAGCTGTCACAGCCGTGCCAAAAAAGCGAATCACCGGGGCAGATGCATTGGCAACAAGCATGGATGATTTGGTGAATTCGGTGAAGACACAAAGCAAGGAACTCACTGTAAACCATGTTATCAGTGGCCAAAGTGTCACTATGGCCGAAGCAATTAGACGTCTTTATGAAATTCAGGGACTTGACTAAACTAATCCACTGCTCCATTTCGGTATTTCCCTTATGGAGGTACCCAATAATAGGGAGATGGTTATGAGTATTCCTTCCGATGAAGACATTATCGGCTGGCTCCAGGTGAAGCAACAAGACAAACAGAGGATGACAACAGTTCCAACTCTTGCAAGCATATTGCGCAATCAAGGACTTCGTTTCTAACTATGCTTTGTGTTGGACTTCTTTTCTGTTATGTGTTGGACTTGTTTCCGCTTATGCGTTGGACTTCGTTTCTAACTATGCTTATGTGTTGGACTTCGTTTATATTTGCTAAAGACCTGCCTTTTTATGAAATGCTTTGTGTTCGACTTCTTTTCGCTTATGTTGGTTTTGTATTTGCTAAGGACATGATGTTTTTAACTATGCTTTGTAAGGAGAATTGGTAGGGAGATGGTTATGCTATTCCTTTCATTTGCCTGGCTTTAAAATTATGGATGTGCATTGGTTGGGTACTGGCTATGGTTGGATTTTAAAATTTTAAATTTCAATAAACCCTGAATCTGATTACACTCTTCCAATTTGCAGCTTTATAGTTATGTAAACAGTGGTTGTAAATCAGCTATACTCAACCATTTGAACAAAAGCGTTGCTACTTGTAGAGAGACATGTGAAGTTTACTGAAGGCTTCAACTTAAAAAGTGGAAGTTAGACCCTTTATAAGGTACTAAAAAAAACAACATAATTTAAGTTATTATTTTTGTATATTTTATTTGAACATTGTTGTTTGTATATGTCATTGCAATTTCTATATTGCTTATTAGTCAGAAAAAAGGAAAAAAAAATTACTACAAGTTACACCCTTTGTAAGGTAGTAAAAAAAAAAAAATATAATGTGTTAACGTCTGTTGGGAAACTTCAAATAAATGTATTGAAGATTTCACCATTGGTAATAGAACAACACTATACAATAGAAGCTCTCAGAAGGATGGCAAATGAAATCAATTGATTATTTATGCATAATATTTCTGTTATTGACAGCCTTACTTTTGACTGCTGTTTAATTTTCGCATGTTTAATTTTGCCAGAGTAGTAGTCTGTCATGTTATGCTTCTGATTTTATTTGAAGTTATGTGATTTAGACATGGAAAGCGACGATGACACCGGTGCACGGATGCAGGAAATGTGTGATGATGTCGCGACGCTTGATCGAGTGGCAGACTGAAATGAATAATACTTATGTTGAAGCGTACAGAATTGCCTCCGACTACTACAAGGCGCACGTGCTTAAAGTCCCATGTCACACGTCCATCTTGAGGGCATGGATTTTGGAAATGTATAATGGACACAGTGGCAGATTTCTCCATGAACTGTGCATGCCCAAAGTCATTTTTACCCGTTTATGTGCCACACTAGTGAACGACTTCGGGTTTCATGTACCTGAGCGGGACCACGGCTTGCACATTGAGGAGAGTGTTGCAATCTTCATTCATATTCTAAAAAACTTGCCTAACCGCGAGTTTCAAGAAAGAGTCCAACACTCCGGTGAAACAATATCACGCCATTTTCATAATGTTTTGAAAGCAATGAAAAAGTTTACCATCGTACACTGTCGGCCGCCCACAGATTTCCAAAACAGGAGGGATCCCTACCTGCAGACCCAACCACAATATTTGTCGTTTAAGGTGCGCAAAAAATGCAACAATTCGAGTTTTTTTTTTTTCAAATTCTACAAAGATGTGACTTAAAAAATGCAAGGCTATAATGCATAACTTCATGGTACTAATAGGTTGCCTACTTGTTCGAATTGTGTAGGATTGTTTAGGTGCCTTGGATGGGACGCACGTGTCAGCGTGCATAAAGGAGTCGGAAGCAACCCCGTATTTTAGCCGAAAGGGTTGCCACACTCCAAATATTTTGGCAGTGTGTGATTTCAATATGTGTTTCGTCCTTGTGTCATGCGGTTGGGAGGGTAGCATGCATGACAGCCAGATTTTAAACATTGTCACCGAAGATTCGCAATATAATTTTCCAACTGCAGTGGATGGTACGTACGAATAGTTGATTTGTTTAATGCCATAACTTGTTAAATTTGTTTGCCCACACGTGAAACAAATATGTATTAGTATGTACACATTCACAGGTCGCTATTATCTAGCGGATAGTGGATACCATAATAAGAAGGGATTTCTTGTACCATATAAGGGTAGCCACTATCACCAACCACACTTGCAATGTCACAAGCCGAGGAATCGTGATGAGTTGTTCAACCGTGCCCACTCTTCATTGCGGAGTGTGATTGAGCGAACATTTGGTGCTTGGAAGTCGCAGTGGAGATTCTTGCACAACATGTCTCGGTTTGACTTTCGTAGAGTGCAGGTGTCGTTGGTGGCTGCATCTATGGCATTACACAATTTCATACGCAGAAACTGCGAGGATGATGCGACCATTGCTGCTGTCAGAAATGCGGCAGAGTACACGTATGCCGATATCCCCGATCGTGCAGATTTGGCTGCCCTAGACGAAGCCGTCATGCCTACGGACGAGGACGTTGAAATGGCGGAGGTGCGTCATCAGATAAGGGAAGAGTTATACCAAATTCGGCGCAATGGTAGGTAGTCAGACAATGTTGTTTAGCATGACTGCTTTTAAATGTTTTCCGTAGTATGTGTTTTGTGAAAACCATCACTAATGTCTTGTTTTGTAGTGATATATGCATAACGTACTAAACTGTTTACATATTTTAAGATGTTGTACGAATTTAAAAAAAAAAACTTTCGAAATTGTCGTACTTTGCATGCGTGTATGGTTAATGCAAATTCAATATTTCACGGATTGTCATAACGAATTTCGTCACACATATTACATGCATTAACTGTAAAGTTCGTAATTGTGCCCAATTACATGACGTAAAAAACATGGCCTAAAATTTTCTTCAACCAACTAAAACTGAAAAATCAGTATTTGACAAATAAAATAAAAAAGGGAGATCTATTTGAAAAATCTTTAAATAAACTACTTCCAATATTGCAAATTGACTATAATTTCAATTTTATTTTCCAAGTTTCATCCATAACACCACAAACATTACCAAAAAATAGTGAATTTTATTCATTACAAAATTTGTTCTCCAAAATGTTGTGGACACCAAAGAAATTACCATGTGTGTGGACCGTACACTTATGTCAAATTTTTGAAAAAAATTTTTTGAGAATTTACCAATTTTAAAAAATTGAGAATTTTTGAAAGAGTATGGGTGTGTGTGGTTTGGTTTTGGGAGATAAATTTTTTTATAAAAAAAAAAAAAAAAATTGGGGAAAGCATTTACCAATTTTTATTGTTTGTTTGGTTGTATATTTTGAAAATAGTTTTCGAGTGTGGGAATTTAAAAAGATTGTATATTAGTTTGTACTTGAGTGGATGTGTATGAGAGACAAAAGTGATTCAGAAGGAAAGCGGAGAAAAAAAAAGTGATTGATTTATGCGTAGGAGATAGAAAATGATTTTAATTTTTTTTTTCAAAAACACAAAACCAAATAATATTTTTAGATTGTTTCCCCTAAATTTCTTTTCCAAGTTTGAACCAAACAAGGCCTACATGTTGTTGCATATGTGTTGGCGTCAAAATCCTGAAATTAAAAAAAAAAACAAAAAACAAAAAACAAAAACAAAAATTAATTAATTAATTAATTAACAATACATTACAACACAAACAACGGTTGTGATTTTGCAATTACATGTATGTGGCCACATGTGCTACTTTGACATTACTTTGACATGACTCAAAAAGTGTACAGTAGTTGTACATTGTTGTATAAAAAAAAAATTTAAATATTTGTCAAAAGTTCCAACGGACAGTAGCTGCACATCTGCACCTGTCTCCATTGATTTCCCACACTTCGATTTCCATGCAAGGGCAAAAATGTCAAGTTTCAAACTTTCATTTTTTTATATTATTTCCTTACACATTTTTTCGTAAAAAGTCAAAAAGTTCATCCCAAACAACTTAGTTTTTTTAACTCATATTTTAGCCAAATAGCCAAAAAGTTACTAAATTAGCCTGTTCCCAAATGAGGCCTTAGTCTTGGTAGTTTTAATTCCCCAAATAAAATTAGCTTCACCAAGATCTTTCATATCAAAGTAGTTATTGAGAGGGTAATTTTTGAGAAAATTGGGCCGAGCTATGAGATGGACTATATGGCCTACTATATGGCCCAAAATACGAAAGACTGGATAAAAAGGGCCGAAAGGTTACTCCGGCCCAAGAGAGATAAAGTTACTCCGGCGCAGAAAATGTTATGTTACTTCGGTCTGGACAACTTGGAGTTAGTCCGGTCTCAGAGTTAGTCCGGTTATGGCGTATTCTGGATAGATCGGTCAGGACCTTACTACTCGGTAGTTCGGCCCCAAACACACCATGGTTCATACAAGGGAGAACCGAGATAAGGTGTAACGAGAGGCAGAACCGAACTAATGATAGTACGGTTTATTCTGTGGCTCAGCATAGCCGTGGGTACTTCGGTCAAATGGTGGTTCGGCCATGGTAAAAACCATCCCACTTGGTTTAAGCAGTGGATGGGGTGTAAAAGGATAAGCATTATCCTTTAGGAGTATGAATCCTAGGAGGACTCTGCATGGAGGAGTAAAAGTCCTACTAGGATTATGCCACTCGAAACCTATGAAAACTCACAAACATCACCTTGGAGGAGGTAACACAACACACAACTTTGCTTTCTGAATACAAAGAGCTTTGTCTATTTGTCAAGTTTGCTGACTTAGGCATCGGAGAGGTTTCCGGCACACACCCTCCGGTTAGCTCACGTTTGTGTTTTCAGGTGAAAAGCGACGTCGTACAGAGGAGCATGGACTTAGTCAACAGGATTATACGAGAAGGCGTATTTCTTTCCCGTACAATTGGCGCCGTCTGTGGGAATAACAGACAGAACAAAACCTCTTGATTAAAGCTTCTCCCCTTTACAATCAATGGCACACATTGAAGAATTGCCGCAGTCCGCCGTCGACGAGCTAACCCCAGATGG